GGATTGGGTTTTTCGATGAACTTGTTTACTAATTGGAAAAAATGGGTTAAGATTAGGACTGCAAACAACTCGAATCAGTCGAGTATGAATCTTGTCAAGCGCAGATCGTATTTTTTTCTTCATTACTCGAGCTCGTGCTCGACGAGCCGTTTAAAATGCTGCTCGACTAGATTCATCAAAAAATAAAATTGTCCGAGCTCGACTCATGCTTGACATCGTTTGAGTTCGACTCGAAATTTTAATACCTAAATTTTAAATATAAATATACTATTTTTAATCTAAATTGACAATTTTGGTCTTATTGTTCTAATATTGATAATTTAAATATATAAGGTATTTATGTAAATAAAAAAGTTGATCGACTCGTCAAACTTACGAGCCTCTTGAAATGATGCTCGAAGCTCGACTCATTTGCTCGATTGAACTGCTCGAGCTCGAGTTTGACCGAGCTCGAGTCGAGCTGCTCGACTATTGTTACCCTAATTAAGATTGTGTTTTTTTTTTTCAATTAAAGTAATTGGTGTCGAGTAGCAGTTCAAAGTTCAAGCTTTGACGAAAAAAGTGATCAGGTTGTTTTTTTAGATTGTTTTTGGCAAGCATATAAACTACCTTATAATTTAAGTTTTCTGTATTCAAATTAGTTTGGTAGGAAGAGTTTTTTAATTAAAAAAATTTGAGTTTATCTTTTAAGCTTCATTGGGTAGCTTTTCAAATAAACTTATTGGTTTTTTTATTTCAACTAGCTTATCAGTTAATTTTATCAAACACTTTTATCATATAACATAATTTTTCGACTATAAATTATAAGGTATAAACTCTTCATAATTCACTTAAAATCTATAAATTTGCTTATCAGCTAGATTTACTATATATATAGTCTTATTGTAATTTTGACGTAATGATTAGATGATCACTGTGCTAAAATATAAAGTGGAATATGACTAATTTGTGTTGCAAATATGGTTATTTTAATCGTTGTCTAGGAAAAACGTGTTCAGATTGCAATTTTTCAAAAGTAATTGGTGTTGAAAGCAGTTCAAACTTTGACGTAATGATTCAAATATGAAATAACTATGATAAATACAATGAAATGTAACATCAATAATGTGTTGTCAACATGGATATTTTTAGCATTTGTAAGTGTATGATCTAATTAAGTTGGTTAATTATATTATAGTACTTCGGATATTGTATTTTGTTTATATATAGTTGTTCGAATTAAATGAGGATGGTAAAATGTTTTCAAGATTTGATCAATTACTCAAGAATAGCCAATTATATTAATTAAAAAAAGGACAAATGATCAATTATCAACTATATATATACAAATTTCACAGACACGCCAGTATATATTATGCATTTTTTTTTTCACGATCATGTGTTTTTTACCAACTTTTAAATGGTGCAATTTTTTTCAACAGTGAATAAGTTAATCAAGTTAGTTTGACCTAACAGAAAACAATCACATGCAATGTGAATGTGAAATAACGACTTAAGAATATATATATATTTCTTACTATAAGAATTATTAACAATGACTATATATTAGGTCTTCCTTGGACTACTACAAAAGTTAATATAAAAGTTTTTTAAATAACGAAATTCATTATGCAACGACAGGCGCCGTGAATTGCTTCTACGTTCAAATCCCTTGCTTATAGATTTTTTAATTATAGGAATAATATTAATACAAGTTCGGTTAATAATTTGCTTTCACATTCAAATCTCTTGCTCAGAGATTTGTAGTTATAGGAATAAAATAGTACAAAACTCGGTTAAAAATTTGCTTTCACATTCAACTTCGGATGCAATTAAAATATCTATCCAATTTATTTCGTCAACCACCAAAAAATAATAAACTATTTATCTATATAATTTTTTCTCTTTTCTCTACTCACATTTTTTGTTTTATATAATATTGTAGGCATCGAAATTTTAATATTTTATTAATTAATGTCTTTATTTATTTTTGAACATAAATCTATGATAAATAAAATATATAATTGATAATATTATTATTTCTTGCCCAGAAAAAGTCAAATCTTAAGACTATGAAAAAGATTATATATTACATCTTAGAATAAGAAAAAAAAATTATATATTGAAGGACCAATGAAATGAAAGTCTTCTTCTCAAAGACTCTTACTCTTACACCTATGAATAGGGTTCTCTTTAAAGTCAAATCACAACTCAAAAATCAAAATCTCAAATTCAAGAGCTCTTAAGAACCCTCTCTTGAAGATTTGAAGAAGTTTTTGAAGATCCAAGATACTCAAGTTGAAGATCGGCGTTCAACCCGCAACCAAACATTCAAACCACCGAAGTCCGTTCAATGAAGATGATGACCAAGAAGAAGAAAAAGAGGCGGCGACTCTTCCTCAAGAAGTAAAGAAACGACTTCCACTCATCTCAAATCAATTCAAGAATATCAACGGTGTTCAAACGACAATCAAGCAGCATTCGTCGAAAAGTTCAACCAACATAATGTATGATCCGGGGAAAAGTTATCAAGCCCTCGAGTCAACGATATTCAAGTCAAAATCTGCCTTTCAAGAAGATCAAATAAACAAGTCCTCCAAGAAGTCTTCTTCAATCAAGTCAAATCCTAACATTTAATATGGGAACAAATCACTCGACCCCCAAATTGATGTTAGAGAAATTCAAAATCAAGCCTAAAGAAGATCCAAGTCCAAATCCATATTCGAAGATCCAAATCCTAGTCCATGAAGAGAAGAATCAGAGGAGATATATAGAGATTGCACCCACAACATCGTTTGATCGAAATAAAATCACGTTGTACGAAAGTTTTATGTTTTTACGCTTACTGGTGGCGGATTTTGTTGGCTTGGCTTGTTCCGGCAGGGCTTGTGGGCTCTGGTCGCCGATCCCTTGTCTGCGATGGTGTTTGGTCGGGGTGTGGGCCAGTGGAGGGGGCATGGCTCCAGCGGCGGCGTTGTCTTGCATCAGGGCGGTCAAGGTTGAGGGACAGAGCCACCTTCACTTCCTTGATTCTCTGGTGTTGGGGACGGAGGGGGAACTGAGACTCCGAGCTCGGCTAGTGGTGTTAGACGAGCTCGGGCAGTGCCGGTGTAGGAAGTCGGTTGTGGTTCCTCCAGTTGGGGGTAGGCCGATTTTGGGTTTGGTTCGGGGTTCGGGTTCAGCTTTTGTATAGGCGGTTCGGCAGTTTCGGAAGCAGTCCCTCGGGCTTGGATCTTTCTTGGAGTCGACTGTTGCTCTGCTGGCTCGGCCCGGTTGTTCTGCTGTGGAAGGACTCTTCTCTCATTTTTATGTTTCTTTGTTTTTGTTTTGTGTGGTAGGTTTCTGTTTTTGGTTTGAGCACTTAACCCTGTGAAGCACGAGTGTGAGCGTATTATCCTGTTGGGACCGTATACTCGGGTATTATCCTGCTGGGATTTTTTTCGTAGTTGTTTAATTTTATTTGTGTTGTTGCGAGTTTGTTATTCTAGCGTTGCTAGAATAGGCTTTAGGCAATAGAATAGGCTTTAGGCAATCTTTGGATTGTCCTCCCAGTCTTATCCAGTCTTTGGTTGTACTTTTCAACTTTTGGCTGTTTTCTTTTCGCATTTTATGCGGTCTTTAGTTATAAAATTTCTCTATTGTTTCGAAAAAAAAAAAGAAAAAAAATGGAAATACAACTAGATAATTTTCTCTTTTAGTAATTCTTATCTTTTTTGGAAAATTATATGTAAATATATATGTATATTTCATTTATTTTTAAATTTACTATGTTAAGTAAGTAGTTAATTATATCCAAGTTTTTCTTGTACCATTTGCCATGAATACTAATCTATTTTTTGATATATGTAGATGACAATATAAACATACCCACTAAAGTAGGCTGAAAATTGTGAAGGCCCAATCTATATTCTTACAAATGATAACACTAAAGACCATTTCCCATTATTGATACTACACTGTTAGTCATAAAGGCCCAATAAACATTTTTATAACTAATTGCACAAAAGCCCATTTCCCCTTTGAATAAAACCTAAACAAACCCTAATCATTGTCCCTCGCAGAACCTTTTCCCACCACTCAGGAGCTGTAAGCCGATCGGCTTCACAAGGTTCGCATCCAGACTAGTCTTTTTACTTCGATCATCTTGATCCTCATTAGCATCTGATAGTATACATGATTATGGAGATTTTTATTTTTTTCTCAAAATGATTATCCGCCATGTTTATGTGACTGGGCGTTCAGCTATTATTGCTTTAAGTTATTACATTTTACCTGAGAGGAGCGATTCGTTTAAGTTTAATGGCAAACTGTGTGTTCTTGTGAGCAATTACGAGCTCGGAGTGCTTTGTTTTTTGCTATGAGATGCGTTCTTCCCCCATTGGGTTAGCTGTAATTATGTTCTTGAGTCTATCTGTGGTTGTGACTGTTCCGGAGCTCAATTTTAGCTATTCGGAGCTGATTAGATTTGCTTTCTCGGAGATATGCATGTAGTTGGATCTCTAAAGTTATTTCTGGTGTGATATTTGGAGTGTCAGCAAAATGCAAGCTTCAGTAGAAAGTTTTTATGGATTTTTGGCCGAAAAATCTGAAATATAAGTGCTTTTTGAATCACTGTATTTCAGTTTGGAAAAGGGTTGGTGTGTTTTCTCAGTTAGAAGTGGTGAATACCTTGCTTTTTTTTTTCTTCTTTTTTATATGTTTTGTTAATCCTCACTGTGAGTGCTGAGAATTCAGGCATGGTGGAAGTAAGATTGATTTGCGACNTTCATAGGAGTCATGGCTGTCCCTTTACTCGACAAGAAGATTGTTAAGAAGCGTGTGAAGAAGTTCAAGAGGCACCAGAGTGATCGCTTTGTGTCTGTTAAGGTTGTCTTGCGCTCCATTCTTTAATTCGATCATCATATAATGCATTTACTGTTGCACAGTTGAATCATATGACATGAAGCAACTATTTTCCCTTGTCCTAAGCACCATCTATGAGCAATGTTGCTTAGCGCCTATTAGATACGGCACTTTATTTATTCCTATACATATTAGTTTCTGCAAAATCAGTTATCTGCATTTGGTCCCTATTTTTGTAACATGTAAAGACTGATAAACAATCACGGAGCATCGTTTTCATTTCCTGGTTTTTCTTCTACAGTAGAATTTCCTAGTTTTTCTCCCATTGTTTTGATTTTAATGGTTGTATTTATAATTCTTTTATCTGTTATGCCAAACTTTTCGGTTTTCTTGTGTCTGTCTAGCCAAACTGGCGCAGGCCCAAGGGTATTGATTCCCGTGTCAGGAGAAAGTTCAAAGGATGCACACTTATGCCAAATATAGGTTACGGGTCAGACAAAAAGACCCGTCATTACCTTCCTAATGGGTTCAAGAAGTTTGTTGTTCACAACGTGAAGGAGCTGGAAATCCTGATGATGCACAACAGGTAGCCTTACATTTCTCTCGACATATTAATTTTGGCCTCATTTTTGGATAATCCAATATTGAGTGAGTGGTTCGTCTGATGACTCTTTGATATTTTTGTCCCGTAATAATATCAGGACATATTGTGCTGAGATTGCTCACAATGTCTCGACTAAGAGAAGGAAGGATATTGTTGAACGAGCTGCTCAGCTGGATATTGTTGTGACCAACAAGCTTGCAAGGTTGCGCAGCCAGGAAGACGAGTAAGTGTGACATTGCAATTAAGTTAACTGCCCTTTTGGTTGTGATGTTTTTTTTTTCTTTTTTTTTTTCCCTTTTCCCTTTCTATAAATGTGGGATATGGAGATTTGAAATCTTGAAAGGGTTTATTAGTGGGCGAATTTTGTTTTCTATTACTGTGGCGTTCTTATTTCATCTGAACTTTGCGAATGACAATTTATCCTCTTGAGACTGTTTTTGCTTGAGCTTATCATCCTCTTTAGTCTGTTTTCGCTTGAGCTTCTGTTGTGCTGAGCCTTTTTTTGTTGTGCTTGAGCTTATTATCTTCAACCCGATACTTCTGTTGTGCTTGGTCATGTTTATGATTATTGAGTTTCGGTTTAAAAAATATGTATATCCGTTGAAAGGATTTTTTGTGTTTACGAACGTCGATGGATCTAAATTGATAAATATTTTGTTATAGAATTAACCGAGTTAAGAATTTATATATATCTATGGTAAAACTAAAAAGTGTGTGCTCTCTTTTTCCATCCCATTTAAATGGAATCGTACACTTTATGTTTTTTTTGCAACTGTTGACATGAAATAAGATCAACATTACCTTGTGATCACATCAATTATACACATCCAATTTGGGTACCAAAAAGTTGGAGCTAAAGTGTTATGTCCCCCATTTATGCATATTCTTACAAGAATTAAGTTCAAGAATCACACATGGTAGACCCAATTTTTTTATTCCTTTTTTCCTTTCATTTTATCCAGTGTCCCAAAAAACAGCTATGCAAATTATTGGGCTATCCAAACACTTATCTATCATATGTATGATTCTAGTTGATATACTGAATATAAGAGCTGTAAACGAGTCGACTCGAGCTTTTATCGAGCTGAGCTGATAAATGAGTTTGACCTCGACTTGTTTATTAAAATTACTGAGATGAGCTCGAACTATAATAAGGTCCAGTTAAGATAATGGTTTACAAATTTACATAAAAGACCCTATTTTTCAAACCTAGCGAGTGTTAACAAGATGACTCCAAACGAGCTGAACTTGACCCTACGAGCGGCTGAACAAACTTAATATTTAAATTGTTATATAAAGTAAATAAGGTGAAAGAACATTAGCCTTTCTCTGATTAGATATTAGATTGAAGGATTACAAAAATTTTATACTTGCTAACCAGACATTTTTATGTGCCAGTAGTCGAGTTATTATTTTTCTTTTGTTTTTTTTTTTTCAACTNATTGTTTGAATTGACTATAAAAATGAGATGCTGACATGTCAATAAATAAGGAGGTGCTGAAAATATTAATGGATTTAGGAGGTGATGTTGTGATGACACGAATTCATTTCAGGAGATAGCCATGTCACAGTCCGTGGCAAATGCTAATACAAGGCTAAATATGATTATTAAATAAATTCTGATAAAAATTAAAAATCAAAAATTACCACCTTCTCACATGTAAAATCATTTAAAACTTGTGTTTAGACAATATATATTCTACTAATACAAGCAACTGTGAACAGTTTATGGAATGTTAAATGATGATAGGAACTTTGTCCAATTTGTTTAAATTTCACAGGTAGATTTTATGAATATTTTTCTTCGGAAGATTATTACCCATTGTTTTCTTTCTGGGTGCAATAGAGACTGCACAAAACTAATAATAATAATAATAATAATAATAATAATAATAATAATAATAATAATAATAATAATAATAATAATTCGAGTACTTCTACCATTGTGATTGGCGTTTTATTCGGATGTGTTGTCATTTTTTTGGCAGATTGCAATAATATAAAATTTCTAGAGGTTCCACTATTGATTGGGGGAGTTCTATTGAGTTTTGATAATTTTATTTTCAAAATATGGAATTTTATAGGTAATCATATACTTGGTAACCCAATCACCCATTCCACCTAATTTTTCCATGAAATGTTCATTAAAGCAAATAATAATATTATACTAGTATTTGATCCTGTGTATTTGCATAGATATAAAACACATTTTTGTTTGTATTTATTAATTAGACATGTACTTCTATCATATAAAAATTATTAATTTTTCTTACGTTATTTTTATCATTCAAAATTAATTGAGATTTAAATTTTATTTTAACCATGCAACGTTTACATTAGTAACATGAATAAAATAATTTATATATTAGTGGCATATATTAAGAAAATTAACATAACTAAAAAAAATTATTGGTGTTTTTTATTTTTAGAAAAAAAAGAAAATGTGTCAGTCATATTTTTCTTCCAACAATGCAACCAAGTATAACGGTTACAACTCTGAATGTGTTAATCAACTTTAAGCTCCAACATTTGCCGTTACACATTTGAATATTTTGCTACCAAATTTAGAATTAATTTAGTAACTGATCCAAAAAATAAATAATAAAAATATATATATTAAGGTGTAACGGTTTTAGCAGATTAGTGAGTAATTAATTAAAAAAAATGTAACACCTTTTGGAGGAAAATGAAAATATGTTTTATTAAATGCATCAGCTAGTAATTATATATATATATATATATATATATAGAGAGAGAGAGAGAGAGAGAGAGAGATTTGAGTGCCAACAAAAATTTACTAGCCTTTGAATGTCATGTGTAAAGTGTTAGTTAAACGGAACGAGTCTCTCATAAGGTTGGTTTGGAAGGCTCAAGCTCAACTCAACTTATTCGTTTAAAGCTCGTCTAATTAATGAGTTCGGCTGGTTAAGACTTGAAAATTAATTTTTTTTATATATCTTTTTATGATTCGACACTTTAATATTTGGGTTCAAATAAATAATAGTCCTCAAATTCAATTCATTAATATTGATAAATGAGTTGAATTTGATTTGACTTGTTTATACATCTAAACAAAATCACAACATGGTGCAAGTTCAAAAGCACTAACCATTATATGAAGGGGAAAATTAGGCCATACGTTACACTTATTTTGTTAAGAAAAGAAATAACAATGTTAAATTCAATGAATAAGATAAACATGTGAAAACTTTGAAGATGATTGTTGCACCAAATGCAGTTCAAATTTCAAACCCACCAAATAAAAAGAATTGATTCCTGTGAAAAAAGGTTTTGTAAAAGGGTGAATACAGAATGAGTATTCCACCGCCGGGGACCACCGGAAAGAGTGGTGGCAAAACACCGCCTTTGACGGCGGCGTAATCAATTCCGCACCTTCTCAAACTTGTTCTAATGACACTATAATCATTTACCCACTTTATTCTTAGCCACCACCACATCAACAACATCAACACTGTTAAAATCAAATTTCTGATTAACTATGATATAGTAAAATAAAAGACGATGAAGATTTTGACATAAAGTACACATATCACAATTTTATCAATTTATACATTAGAATACATTTAAGATCAACAACTATATCATTGTTTGTCATCCTTTATGTCAAACTCATTATGTTATATCTTTGTTAATGTTTTTAAAGTATGACATGCATGTTTAATATAAAAAAATATGATTGCCTAGCACTCTTTAATTCTACTGAAAATATTAAAAAGGGTGGGATTTGGATTGAAGAATTTCACAAGACAAAAATTGTCCGGGTGCCATATTTTAGGATGTGGACCACAGAACAAGGCAACACAAAAGCCATTCAATATGGCCACAGTTTACTCGTTTTCATTTATTTCATACCTAATAAAAAAAATACCTAATAAAAAAAAAACATCAATAAAAAAATCAATCATGCTATGAGTTTTGGCTTCCATGCAAAAGAAAATTTCTCGATGTGAGTTGATTATTGACCATACAATTACATATGAAGAGTACATAAAAGAGCTAAAATAAATCCAATTAATGACATGTTAAAAAGGCCCTAATACTATGAAAGCACAAAGCATTGTTGAGATTAAAGCCCTATATCATGTTCACCTTGTAATAACCTTGAAAATTGTAGAGGGTTTCTAACTAACCAAGAAATATGATAAGTTGCAAAAGCCACCCCAAAATTTAGTCAAATTACAAAATTAACACGGTTTTATATTCTGCATATGTTTAGAAAAAAAAAAAATATAACTGTCCAACCGTTAGATTTGTTTAACAGTAGTCTGACTCCCATCTCGAATGTTTTCCTTCTCTATTTTTCCTAATGAATCTAAAAATTGACAGTTTGCAACTCCTAAAGGTGAACTTGACCTGTCTATGACTTGAATGCAAACCATGTGAAGTGTTTTAAAAAGGGTTAGGGATGGAATATAAGAGCCAAAAATAATAGTCTCTCAACATTATTTCAAAAGCAATCACACTAGCAAGCAAGCACTTGGACTGTTTAGACACACACACAAAACAAGAACTTATTTAATGATTCAACTAAAACTCAAACCACCTAAATAAAAAACCCCATGTGCTAAATTATCTCATACAAGACCAACTTCAAGACCACATGGAAGTTTAGCTATATGAAAGGCAAAGCACCTAAAACCATGTGCATTTTAACCTTTAATTTGACACCCAAATATGTCCATTGCCATCAAATCATTATCCAACAGTAATTATAAGCCTAAGAGAAGATCAAAACCTTGCTCATGCATAGAAAGATACATTTATATACAAAAGTACAGTCCAAACCAGAAAATAAAGCTTACCTCATATTCCCCACNNAACTAGCATAGAATTTACAGAAAAGCCCCTCACCTTAAAGCAAACGATTATCACGCCGTGTGCGTTAGATTAACGACCCTATTCAGCCTCTCGAGAATCCCATTCGCCTTCCTCTTAGCCCTCGAGCTCCCATTCCTCGCGAGCCGAGATATAGTCCTGTTCAAATTCTCCTCCTCCCTAACCTCCTTCAACTTCGACCGATCATTAAAACAAATCGTGTACAAAATCGCCACACAATTCTCCTGGTTTCGACTGCACGAACTTTCCCTAATGATCCCGAGCAAGCAAGAAACTCCACCGAGCTCCCCCATTTCCTCAAGCGCCCTCTGATTGGTCGAGAGCATGGCTAAAATCGACAGCAGCTCATCCACATTTATCCCTCCCACAATCTTTTCAAGAATTACCCGAACTACCCCTTCCCTAACAGCCCTCGTCTTATTCTCGTGAATTATGCACAAGTTGAAGATAGCAGAGGCCACGTCTTTCATGGCCAAAGGGTGCCCCTCGTCCAAAAGCTCGATTAAAGGTTTCAAAGCGCCAGATTTCCCTATAAGGGCTTTGTTCGAGTCGAGAGCCGATAGCACGAAAATTGCGGCTGCCGCATTCGAGCGCGTCTCGATTGTCCCCGAGTTTTCGAGTGCGTTCATCAATATATCGATTACTAGAGGTGTTTCGGCCACGAGCTTCTTGTTGCTATCGTGGATCGAGATATTTAGGAGGGTTGTGATTACATCTTCTTGAATGTGGTCCGGGTGGACCCGAGAAAGAGGGGATAATAGCTTGGGAATGGAATC